AGACTGGGCTGAAGGTTTACCTTCCAGCAAGACAATGACCCTAAGCACACCGCTAAAATAACGAAGGAGTGGCTTCACAACAACTCCGTGGCTGTTCTTGAATGGCCCAGCATCTCTGGAGAGACCTGAAAATGGCTGTCCACCAACGTTTACCATCCAACCTGACAGAACTGGAGAGGATCTGCAAGGAGGAATGGCAGAGGATACCCAAATCCAGATGTGAAAAACTTGTTGCATCTTTCCCAAAACGACTCATGGCTGTATTAGATCAAAAGGGTGCTTCTACTAAATACTGAGCAAAGGGTCTGAATACTTATGACCATGTGATATTTCAGTTTTTCTTTTTTAATAAATTTGCAAAAATTTCTACATTTCTGTTTTTTTCTGTCAAGATGGGGTGCTGAGTGTACATTACTGAGAAATAAAATGAACTTTTTGGATTTTTGGAAAATGGCTGCAATGAAACAAAGAGTGAAAAATTTAAAGGGGTCTGAATACTTTCCGTACCCACTGTATGCAAACAGGCATTGGGGGAATACATACGCTACCTCAGCTGCAGTCTGAAAGGAAGAGGTGTGATGCGAATTTGCAACAATCGGCGTTAAGGGGTTAACTGGAAGTAGTCACAAATATCTTTTTGTGTTTCTATATATGAAACATTGAATCTTTGCTGATAAAAACCAAGGTGTTATGATTTTTATGGTTTTTTTCAGGGCAAAACTGAAAAAATACAATTCCACATAAATGCAAGTTATCCTCCACTGTTCCATTAAATATCAACTTTTTTCATGGTGATTTTGGGAAGTTACATCGACCACACATGACTTATCTCAACCATAACCAATGTGTAGCATCCACTTGGGTGATGCACGGCAGCAATTTGCTCCAGAACATTCACCACACATAATTATGGTTCACAGAGGATAAATCCAAATGGCTTTGGCATCCTCAAATTTTCCTAAGCAGCAGGTCAATGTTTTAATTTGCCCAGTGCATTGGTTATGACCAAGTACCTAGTGTTATAGTCAAGACCGCCCAAACCGAGACCAAGTCAAGACCAAGACCAGAGTTTATCGAGACCAAGACAAGACCAGGACTTTTATGGGCTGAGAACAAGTCGAAAACAAGACCGAGGGAGGGCGAGACCGAGTCAAGAACAAGACCAGTTTCCCACATGGTTGTCTACATGATACAAAATAAAATGTGGATTGAGATAATAGGTACTTCTCAAATACGTTTTACATCTAATCAATGTTAGGATGTTAACAAATAAATCAGACAATGCAAAAGCAATTTATTGATATTCCCAAAGTTATGGTCTTGACTGATCTTGAAATAAAATCCTGAGTCCTCAATGTTCGAGACCGAGACAAGACCGAGTACAAATGCAGTCGAGTCCGAGACGAGACCAAGACCATCAAAAAGTGGTCTTAAGACCGGTCTCGAGTACTACAACACTAAAAGGACCTGTAAAACTAATGACATGTCCATCAGCTGTAGCTGCACTTTGTGTTTAGTGTGAATTAGCAAATGTTTGCAAGCTGACATGTTAAACTAAGATGGTGAACATGTGGTTAAACATCTTTGCTTTTCATGAAAAAGTTGTGTTGGATACATATTTCACCTACTTGTTTTTTCTGTATCCTCACCACATTTCCTTCTCAAGTGGAAAGACGTTTTTGTCACAGGATGTATCACTGTGGCCGTTATACTGCACTGTGATAGAATCCCATACAAAAACTCCACCCTGCAAACTAGAACATGAAAAGACTCTCGATCTAGAGAGTTTTTCATTTTAGTTAGTCATGTTAAGATCACATCATGTGAAAAGAATCAGCAGTTCAAATGTTTCATTTTATTATTAATTTAATCAGGATGTATTTTTGTATCTATTCCTAAAAACAGCTTCACCATCACAAGAATATAACAAATACATATAAATACAGTTATTTATATACATTGTGCTAAACTACTGTGTTTCTGAAAATCAGATTTGTCACAATTTGGTGACTTTTAGTCCTGCTAGCAGCATGGCTCTTTGGCAAAGTTTGTCTGTTGGGTGGTCTGTCCACCACTTAGGTCCAGGCTGAAATATCTCAACATTTATTTAATGGATCAGGATGATAACACAATTCTTTGTGTAACAAAACATTGTTGTCAGCATTGAAATATCACTGCTTTTCCTTGGAAGAGTTTTGTTGGACACATTCAGGCAGCAGAAAGCAGTCTCACCTACTGTATCAGTGCCGTACACAGTATTTTCTTCTCAGTGGAAGGAGGTTTTTGTCATAGGATGCATCACTGTGGCCGCTGCTATATAGTGCACTGTGATATATCTCCATTCAAAAACTCCATACTGCATACTGGCTATCAAGACACACACTTTAACAATTTTTTTGATATTAGTCTAATGAGTAATGTTCAGATCCAATCATGTGAAAGGAATCAGCAACACAAAAGTTCCCTGATGACTGCTTTTTTTTTTAAAGATTATTATTTTTCATTCGGTCATGCCATAACATTCCTGAAAGGGGCTTCACAATTCTGATAATGATACATAAAACAGACATACACAAATATGGTTATTGATATACATTGGGCAGGAAAACCATAGATAAATGGCATCCACTGGAGATACGTTGGGTTTTATACCCCCAAATAGATAACTAAGCATAGATAACTTGACATCAAACTAACTGGAAGTAGTCACAAATATCTTTTTGTGTTTTTGTGTGTGAATAGTATCTTTGCTGACACAAAGCAAGGTGTTTAGGGTAAAACATGAAAAATGCAATTCCACACAAATGCAAGTTATCCTCTACTATTCCATCAAATCTCACCTTTTTTCAGGTGAGTTTGGAAAGTTACATCATTCATTCATTCATTCATTTATTTCGGTTTGGTCATTTACAGATCATTCAATCAAATCATTCAAAACATAAACACTATAGATGACCAGGTGCAGGCAGAAGCTAAAGCTTATTGTGCCTGCCCTTAGCTTTAAAATCATAAATGCAACTCATTAATGCCAACATCTGTTCGAAAATTAACAGTAACACATTAGTGGACCATTGTCGACATCAATCACTCATGGCTCATCTCAGCGTGTAGCACCTGGGTGATGCATGGCAGGCATTTGCTCCAGAATGCTCACCACACATATTCACACATGGAGCAAAGAGGATAAATCTAAATTACTTTGGCGATACCCAGCTTTTCCTAAGCAGCAGGTCAATGTTTTAATGTGCCCACTGCTTTGGTGATGACTAAGTACCTATAAAACAAATGACTTTCTCATCAGCTGTAGCTGCGCTTTGTGTTTAGTGTGAATTAGCAAATGTTTGCCTGCTAACATGCTAAACTAAGATGGTGAACATGTGGTTAAACATATTTGCTGTTCATGAGAAAGTTGTGTTGGACACATATTTCACCTACTTGTTTTTTCTGTATCCTCACCACATTTCCTTCTCAAGTGGAAAGACTATTTTGTCACAGGATGTATCACTGTGGCCGTTATACTGCACTGTGAAAGAATCCCATACAAAAACTCCACCCTGCAAACTAGCACATGAAAAGACTCTCGATCTAGAGAGTTTTTCATTTTAGTTAGTCATGTTAAGATCACATAATGTGAAAAGAATCAGCAGTTCAAATGTTTCATTTTATTATTTATTTATTCAAGAGGAATTTTTGTATACATTCCTAAATTGCTACTGCTTCACCATCGCAAGAATATAACAAATACATATAAATACAGTTATACATTGTGCAAAACTACAGTAGCAGAAAACATGATCATGATGTCTAACAGGAGGATGACAGCATGAGTTGTTTAGATACACCTTTCATTTACAGTATAAAGACCTAATGCAATTAAACAATTACAATATCTTATATGACAGAAATCTAATATTCTCATTTGGTCATTCATCTGGAGCTTTGCTTACGATTTACTGGAGAGAGACAGATGAGTCTCACAACATGGTTTTTGTATTGGTGTGTAACACTGTGCTGTAACCCCAGCTACCACTATAGTAACCACAGTGATACAAGCTCCTACAAATACCTTTCCACATTTGAAAGAGACCACAAAGTTTTCTGACATGGTTTAAAACGCTGTGATTTTCTGTTGAATAGATTCAGAGAGAGGAGAGAGAGACTATTTTTACAGAGCAATTATTTCTCTGCATGTTTTTTTGAGCATGATATGATTCCATCTTATTAAAGCTTTGAGTGAAGTACATTCTACATCAAAGAGCAAACAGGGAGGGCGGCGGTTGACGTTCACTGAACCACTACTACATTATGGCAAGTGAATTATTTTGAAAATAAACTCCATGACTGGGTGATTTTAGTTAGTCATGTTAAGATCAAATCATGTGAAAAGAATCAGCAGTTTAAATGTTTCATTTTATTATTTATTTATTCATGGGGTATTTTTGTATACATTCCTAAATTGCTACTGCTTCACCATCACAAGAATATAACAAATACATATAAATACAGTTATACATTGTTCAAAACTACAGTAGCAGAAAACATGATCATGATCTCTAACAGGAGGATTCATATTTCATAAAATTCATCCAGAGGTTGGATGACAAAAGTAATAGTGCTTTACTTGATCGCGCTGTATCAGTGATATAAAAACACTTACAATTTATTTATTTAATCTTTAAAGTACAACATATCCAGCACTTTGGTTAATATAGGCTGACTGTATATTAAGAAAGCCACAGCATGAGTTTTTTTACATACACCTTTCATTTACAGTATAAAGACCTATGACTCTTGAAAGGTTTTTGTAACTGTGTGAATCACTGTGGCCACCCCAGGACACAGTGATACACCACAATACAAAAACCTATTGCCACAGTGGAGCTGCAGTTCTCTTATCCGCAATACACACTACAACAGCTCTGGTTAATTTAATTTAAATCATTCAAAATCAAAATTATTGTGGGAGTGGGATGGCCATTGTAAGTACCTTCTTTGTTTTCTAATTGTTCGATGGCAGGAATAATAATTCGATTTTAACTACTCAACATGATGGAAGTGTTTTCATTATTAAATAATAATAAAATTAATAATAAATAATAATTAAAGTTAATATTTCTTCTTTGCACTGTCAGCAAATATACTGTATTTATATATTTATTTGTTGTGTGCTGTAGTATACACACTCTATTGTATAGCAGCTCATTTGTTGCTGCATATTAGCAACATTAACTAACATTACACTGATAACACACTTAGCATTGTATTACATGGCAACTGAATTATATTTAATAACTGTGACTTTGTGTTTTTTGACTTACTTTGCTCAGTGGAGGGTCGGGTTAAGAACAGAATTCTCTGCATATAAACACAGTCAATGATTTGTCTTATAACACATTCATCACTGGGTTATTTCCATAATGGGAAGAAATGCAATTAAACAATTACAATATCTTATATGTAAGAAATGTGATATTCTCATTTGGTCATTCATCTGGAGCTTTGCTTACGATTTACTGGAGAGAGACAGATGAGTCTCACAACATGGTTTTTGTATTGGTGTGTAACACTGTGCCGTAACTCCAGCTACTATAGTAACCACAGTGATACAAGCTCTTACAAATACCTTTCCACATCTGAAAGAGACCACAAAGTTTTCTGACATGGTTTAAAACGCTGTGATTTTCTGTTGAATAGGTTCAGAGAGAGGAGAGAGAAAAAATGGAGCAATTATTTCTCTGCATGGTTTTTTGAGCATGATATGATTCCATCTTATTAAAGCTTTGAGTGAAGTACATTCTACATCAAAGAGCAAACAGGGAGGGCGGCGGTTGACGTTCACTGAACCTCTACTGCATTATGGCAAGTGAATTATTTTGAACACAATCTCCACAATTTGTCTGCAGCTGACCTTAAAAAAGAGACATGGACCGAATCAAAGCCATCTGCTTCCATGTCTCCTGGTGTTGGTGTTATGTGTGAGTTTTTAATGTCATTATTAGTATTATTTCATTTATATATGCAGAGATTCTCTTGTTGATAGATAAATCACAGTCTTATTTATAATTTTTAAATTTATTAGTGTGTCTGTTTTTTAGCTGCGACATCATGTTGTCTTCATTCAAATCCCAACACTGAAATAAACATGATGTAGCGTCAGACAGTAATGTGTTTCAAAGTGCTCTACTTTACAGAGTGGGAGCAGTGCATGTTGAAGCCTGTAGATGGTAGCACAGGCAAGATTTTCTACTTGTGTTCTTCATCTTTAAGCTCACCTTACCAGAATGCATCTACAGGGCAGTGCAGTGCTTTGGTTGCTTGTTATATCAGCTGCTGCCTTAATGTACATCAGACAGTATGTGACAGGGCCAGAAAATGACGACTTTTTATGCATCTGGTGTGTTTCAATTTGTGTGCTGTGCTTTTTTACTTTTTTAGTGTGTTATTTGTGTATGTTTTTTTATCGCATGTGGAGTGGTGTGATTTAATGCATGTGTGTGCGATTTTAAGTTTTACTTACTGGCTGGACTGCCCCTAAACATCACACCTCCACTGACGTCATAATTACCAATGAGCAACAGGTGTGGAAGCCGGTTTGACACCAAAATGTGTGACCTATCAGATTCTGTGACCCATATAGGAAGTTAAGCGCCAGAGGCCTTGTTGACATACATAAAATGGAGCTAAAAGAGTCTCAAAAAAGATAAATGAACACACTACATTCACATATGCACACACAGTATTCATAAATACACACACAGGATACATAAATGCACACACAATTAAAAAGCACACAAGATTCACTAATGCAAACAAAAATCATTGGGGGGGGGGTAAAAAAATTGGTTCTGCTTAATGTTTCTAAACCCGACATAAACCTTTTATTATTGCAACAAAAATGGTTCATATCTTTAAGGACTTATCTACCTGCCGGGACATGGCGGCCTCAGGCATCAGTGCAACTAGCACCTGGGTTTGTTTAAATGCCACAATGCTGTGGAGATTGAAGGGGGATACCAGCATGTATGGCTAATGTCAGATGGACGTGTAAATGGTCAAATGTGTGGCTTCACTTTATTTAAAATAACTACGAGGCGAAGTGCAATGCATGTGAGAAGCTAAGTAGCTCTGAAGTAATGTAGCTCCAGTCCATCTTCTAGCTCCAATATCATCAGCCAATGCTAACATTAGCACGCTAATCACTATGCCACAGGGCGGGCAGGGATGACCGCCAAATTGAAAAGGCTGTTCATGTTCAGTCTTTCTTGCATGCCAGCTGCTGTTTTTCAGGTTGCCTTCTGTGGAACGCTTCTTCGGTGGCTATAATGTTACTACAGCGCAGTTGTTAACATTAAATGAATCAGAGTCAGAAATACTTACATAAGAAATAATGACTTTTGGAAGCCCTTTCAGCTCGCACCGTGTGCGCGCGTTGCTGACGTATGCAAATTGACTTGACAGACGTGCCCTTAAGGGAACAATACTTTGATATAGCTACATGTGAAGAATACATGGTCAAACTATAATGAGTTTGCTTGGCAGTGTTGTGTAACTTTGACTAGCAGCCAGCAGCTTGCTTGCTCAGACAGTAAAGCTGCTGGCTGGGCAGTGAAGTGAGATCTACTGACACCTTACTGTGCAATATGGCAACAAATTAACATTACTTAATTTATCAAAAGTGACAATACTAACGTTACTCCATGTTGAGCCCCAACAAATCACAGCAGGGGAAATTACTTCGCTGCAACAGGCAGCTCTATGTGAAAAGCATCTGTGTGAATTGGCCTTTAGAGTGAAAGCATGAAAAAGCAGAATGTTCAGTAAAAAAAATACATTTCTTAGTTTAATGAAACAATAAAAGTAAAAACACCTGGGGAGGGCAATCACAACTGGGAATCAATAAGAACAAGATCGATATGCAGAATCACAATCTGAATCAACAAAATTGAAATGATACCCAACCCTACTGCCAGGGAATATGTCTATTATATTCATCGATTTGTCCTACGGTCTTGTTCTGTTTCTGTAATGTTCTGTTCTCACATGGACGTGGAACCATCTGATATTTGTGCTTGTTTTGCAACATTTTTGTAGTGTGTTTTCCCAGCTCCTCTCATGCTGCAATTACAACCAGTGGTGTTCCATGCAGGTGCTGGGCTTGTCCCAAACTTTTCATTTCAATTAGCTTAATTTGCATGAATGTTTAGGTGAAGAATGTTGCTAAAGCAGAAATTCACATGAATATTGACATTTGATGCTCAAGAAAAGATTAATCAGTCAGATAAAGCGTCATGTATTGTCTATTAAGTGACACATGTTCACTTTACTGACAGTGAGTAATATTCTTCTGACACATTTAATATTGGGGAAGAGGATGCCAGACCACTTGAAACACAATGAGGTAATCATATAGTATATAATATTGTAGAATGGGTAATGATTAAAATGTTAATCATTTGCAGAATAGTGAATCATTAAATTTTTTAAAGATTGTGGCTCTACTTGAGGAGGAATTTCCTAAACTGAAGACCTTACAAGGAGGTTGGATGTTTTTCAAGTCTACAGGTAGAATTTTTCTAAATCTCCAATTACAAAAATTATAGTTCAGAGATATGTCATGTGATGTCCAGCGATGAATTACCATTCACACCACTATTCAAGTTGTCAAGGACAGTGCTATGACTTGTTTGCCTGACAAAATATAACTTTTAATATTAATGATTGTGAGACTGCAAGGTTTTAAAGGACTCTTACTTCTTTCCATTTCAAAATAGGTGGTAGCGGACATTGCGAGCTGTCCATAATTCCAACTGACGCTGAGGGTTACTCCACAAGGCTTCTTAAATCAGCATCTAACAATGGGAAAAACATAGTATTTGTAGTTCCACTACAGGAGAAGCTTTCTACTGAACCACTTTTCTATGATTCAGTAGAGTTCGCCAAGATGCCACAGTCAAAATGCATTACATGTGGCAGTCAAATGCCTTTGCAGCTGTTGCCATTGCATGTAGAGGGATGCAATGGCGCAGTGACTGTAAGCTGTATTACAACATGTCTCTCATTTCACTTTTTTAATTTGTTCAAATGACTGTTTCAAAGTATTAAGTATTTGTTTATTATATATATATTTTTATTAATTTTATTTCTTTAGGAGAGTGAATCTGGGACATGTCTTGATGAAGAATGTTCAGTTCTTGAGCAGCCAGTCTCATCTACCATAGGCATGGATGAATCCTTGGTAATAGATGTTGTCTATTCTGTTGCTTTTGGAATTTAGAAAGAAAGCATTTTTTTTTTATTCATCACATAAAGTAAGTAAGCAGAGGTTTTAGTACAGAATAATTTAATGCTTGCAGATATATAAATAGATTGGGCTTAACACATCTCAAACTGAATTTATTTTTTTACTCTGTGACACATATTTACTAATTTTTGATCATAGCATATTTACTGTCGCTAGTGAATATAACATGTCTGTAAGATGCAAAAAACATTACACTATTTTTATAATTTCATGTACGAAAAGTATTTACATTTTTTTGCAGGTCTGCCCAATCTGTCTTGCATTGTACCCAGCTGATGTTCTCCCATCTCATGCAAGCACATGTGGTGACAGGTAGGACGTTTGTCTGATAGATTCAGGTAATTGACAGTCAGACATTATCAGAATATAATGACATGTTCTGAGTGAGAGGAAGGACACGTGTAAAAGTGTCATTTCATTAGAGTATCGCATGAAGAATTAATATAAACATTTGGCACCACTGACCAACAAGATGGTAAATAATTAAAATAATCACATCATGATTTGGCTGTTTTCCAAGCAATGTTTTTATTATTACAATTTATTTGGTCTGTTCTAAGAATAAACTGTGCTCAACCCAGCGTAGCAGCCAGTCCCCCAAGGGGAGAAGAATTGCCAGGACACTCAGTTCCACAATCGTCAGCAGGTAACTTTTGTCAAGTGATTTAAAATAGGAATATGGATTTCAAGTACTTACCCTTGATATAATACATTAACCTGCAGGTATTTCAAAATTTCACTGCTGAAACAAATTTATTTTTGCTTTGGAAATAAGTTGATATTAGTGTACCATTTAGAAGGCCCTTTGCATCAACAACTTTTTTGTGGTAAATTACAGCTTCAACCTGGGCCACTGAAGTCGACCCCCAAAAAGCATGCCAGTTGTTCAGAGAAGATTTACTGAACCGTTACTCTGAAAGTCCACGCCTCTCTCTATCACTCGACATGTTTGATGCAGAAGATGAACAGGACAGTGCATTCATTTCATTCTATAAGCAGAATAATGTGAACTGGGCAGCTCCATTCAAGTGCAGGCTGAGAGGTATTAATAAAGCGTGTAACTTATTTTTCCATTATAGGTAGGTTATTCTCTGAATTGAATTGTGGCTTTTTAATTTATTTTATTTTTTTACTGTTGACTCCATGTCCCTTAACCCCCCTGTATTTGTTGTAGAAGAAAACTTTAGCACAATAGCCATGCTCTGTGTACTTGACATAATCTGGCCGATTGTCCTTTTCATCTCAAATATTTCCCCCAAGGAGATGCAGCAGTGGGTGATGGTGTCAGCAGACATGTTTTGTCAATGGCCATGCAGAAATTGAAAACTGGTTTCAGAATAAATTTAGGTTTGTATATATGAGAGACTGTGTGTCATCTATGTTTTCATGTTAAAACTGGACACTAATGTCATCAAATGAGGGAATAGTATTGACATGTAAACTCTACTTTAAATAAACAATATGTTCTAACTTAATCTAAATAAACCTCCAAAGACATATTTTGGTCCAACTGTGATCAAGCATGTTTTTTAAACATAATGCTCAATGTTTCTTGACCTCTTTTTTAGTTTTTTAATTAAGGCTCTGCGACCCTTTTTGAGGGGCAAAAAGAACATTGGGTTCTCTCTGCAGCTGCTGTCCTGCGGGAAGGCAACTTATTTGAGATGGCAGGTCGTATGATTGGTCATTCTTTCCTGCATGGTGGGTTCAGCTTCTCGGGACTCAGTTTGCCTGTGGTGACCCTACTGACTGGTGGGAGCATCGACACTGCAGCATCGGCTCTGACACTGGAGGACTGTCCTGATATTGACCATCGTGAAACAATTGGTTTGGTGAGTAACTTGGTTACAAATAGCACATTTTTGTTCATGTCACACGTGTCTGTGCCGAGACATTTCCTGATTTCCAAAGCTTTTTCATTTACTCCAGATGTTAGTTATTTTTATTGTACCTTTTGACTTTTTGGTGACAACTTTTCATGTAATTATTAAATTCTTTTAATTTTTTGTGAATGTATACCTGCTTTAGCTGAAGAATGCTGAACTTACTGCAGAAGAAAACACCAAAGTGACTGATCTTTTTTGATTTATGTGAATATTTTTTGAGATTGTGTGTAGTTTTTTTTGGTGTCACAGGGGTGTGTACATCTAAAATGAATGGTTTATTTTAGTCATATGTTTAAGTTATGTTATGTGTGATTTCAGAAATTAGACAGAAAGATTATTCTTTCATAAAAAGATCACTACAATTTTGAGATCACTTTGCAACATTTAATAAAAGTTTCAATCCTGACATGAAATGTTTATTTGATCCCTTGTAGACAGTGATCCAGAGCATTACCTGGCCACAACCCAACTTGGACAGCGACAAGGATGAGGAAGACACTGTTCCATTGGAGAAAATCAGTCTTGTCACTGGATTTTTGAGAAAATTCATAGAATATGGTAAAACTGTAAATGGTCTTTATTTCCTTATTTTTCATTCTCATCCTAATTCACACATAATTGTTTCCTCATAACAATCCTAGTTGCTACAATAATAAAGTGGTTCTTCATATTTATGTTTATGTGCATTTGTGTTTCGTTTCATCTTGGAGTGAGCTGGTTTAGAGTTTTATTGTCAAATGGTCATGTTTCTCTCCCTCCTTTCTATCCACTACTGTGTGCTTCACTGCAGCACAGGGAAAGGAGAAGACATAAATGTGAATGTTTGACAGAAACAGTAAAGCCCAGCTCCCTCTGAGATGAAATGAAACACAAATGCACATAGAACTGGTAACTGAAATTTCATACTTTGTTTACATTCCACAGGATTTAAAGTAATCATTTGGATGTTCTAAACTAGGAGAGGAAAAGAGACTACAGGGATTTTACTTTTGTAAAGTTTGTACTATTATAGATATTTTGAAGTGTAGCACCATTGATGTCTTATATTTGTCATCTGTTTTGAAGCCTTATCTAAACAGCAAGCATTGCTGATGTGTTATCTTTACTTGAGTATCTAAGACTGCAATAACTGAATTTGTTGAAAAGATAATCTTATGAGAGAATCGTTACTTCATAATTTTTGAAAGATCTCCAATGTAAATTTTTTTGAGGGGTCACAAGTGCAATTTTCTCTTTCATAGCGTCAACAGATGTGCTACGTGATCTGATGAAGTTTTGGGTGGGGTGGGAAATGCCAACAAGACACCTCAATGTTGAGGTTGTAACCTCAACTTATCCAGTGGCTCTCACCTGCTTCTTCAAGTTAAAGCTCCCCAGCCACTACCAGATCTTTCACCAGGACTTGATGATGGCCCTCAGTTCCATACGTTCTGGCTTTGGACTTGTGTAGCTGCAAATGTCATCACTTAAAAGAGCAATTCCTGTTAATTTATGCACCATTTACTTTATAAAGTTTGATTATTCTACTTGTCAGGCACCACCTTCACCTGTCGATAAATACTTTGAAGTTGGTTTGGTGATTGTCTTTGGCCTATGTTTTTAAATGTGCACTAGTTCTTTAGTTATTTTCATATTCTTAATCCAAGTGTACTTTTGTGTGCAATGAGCTTGGATCATATAAAGATCTTCTCTTGAGAGCTGTGGCAGCTTTCTCGGCCTCTCTCTCATCAAGCTTAGACTTCATAGACATTTAGTTGTAATTATTGAACAGTTTATACAGCTACAGCTACATGTTAATTCAGATGTTTAGGTAGATTCCAGTTTCTCCAATAGTACTGTTACCCTTTCACAGTAATCTGTTCTAAATAAGTGTGTAATCCTAACAATGTTTTTGTAAAGTTTTGTATAATAAATCAGTTCTTTATTAAAATGTCTTCACAAATTGCATGCAAAGCGCAAGTAAAGAAAACATTTCATACTATTCTTCAATCAACACTCCATGAATGTCAAATAACCCAGCAACCAACAAGACCCAAAGGATCTGGTGCCAAAATTCCAGTTCCAGACACTGTACAACTCCAAAGGTCCTGAATCCCTTTTGGCAGCACAAGGGGGACTGAAATAAAATATGGCAGGTTGGTTTTAATGTTGTTGCTTAAAAGGTATCTATTAAACTCTAATTCCAATAATAATTTGTCTGAATAGGCAGTCAGTTATCTGCTGACTGAGCTGCAGCTGTTAAGTCCTGGAAATCCTCTGCGATGGTCCACACGGTCTATGGGGGACAAAGTCTTTGTGGGCCACGTTCTTTCCCAGGATGCAGCGCCAAATGTGACTTAGCTTTTAGTCAATTCAGTCATCCTAGCTAAGAACAAGTCCAATGGCCACTGTAGAGAGATAACTAAGTGTATTTTTTTTCCTTTTCAAAATAAAATGCCCAGACACAAACTTATAGAATTCATACTAACTGTCAATACTGTCAATTTTAGTATGGATGTTCCTGGGCTCCTAGCATAAGGCACAATCAAAATATCATTTGAAATGATCCAAAGTAGTTTGTTAAATTTTATTTATTTCATTATGTCTTTAGAAACATTGATATCCCGGTTAGATAGGTTATTCGTTTTTTTTACCCAAACATGATCTGTAACATGACATGACATGTTTTATGATCAATCTGTCATCGATGATTGAGAGAATCTCCGGACATTGTAGATTTCTCTTCAGCACAGAATAAAATCTATAGGCTACACTGTCTTTTAACACTGACTATGGACCGCAGCTGTCAGGTTGGCAACAGTTGCACTTAAACACTTATTGTGACCTACTTTAGGCCTACTGTAGTAGCCTAATCACTAAACTAATCTGTATAAAACCAATCAATGAACACAAATCATTCATATGGTAGTTGCACTGATTGGAACATCTATATGGTAGTTATGTTGGATAGGCTATGATGTGAATATTTCTGAGTGAGGATGACTGTGGTGCAGCTGAAACAAAGAAATGTATCTTAAAAGTGAGTTTTTCCATTATCTGCTAATAGTCTGAATGTGTTTTACATAATTTCATTAAACACGAAATGAGCAGGATTGTTTAGCCTACTCATGGACTGATTGTAAAGTATGTCTAATCTGCTCAGTTAATATTTTCTTCTTCAGTTATTGCCAGCGGCATTTAGTCCCGTCAAGTTCCAGCTAAATAAACAGGCCTGTAGCTGTTTAAAATGAAAGCAGGCTTAACAAACTCTGAGCTTATCCCTGAGCTCTGAGTTGACTGAGCCCGATATGTGAAACGCAGAGTTTTCAGTTCCAGAACAGCTGATCAGAATTAGTTCAGTCAACTCTGAGTATGTTGAGCACGTGCGTGGGGAAAAAAAGCCTCATCAATGGCGCTCCAATACTATGATTCACCATGGCAACAGGTAAATAAAGGCAGAGCCTCCATTTTAATCAGGTGGAGCTAGAAATATGAATGCTGCCAACACGGACCCCGATTGGCGAATGAAAATTGTAACTGTCATTTTTATTTCTTAAACCAGTAGAATTAAATAGGAGAATTTTTAATTAATGTAATGAATTATGTTTATTATTTAGTGTAGCCTTTCTTAAATTGTCCACTGCATCATTTCAAAATAGTTAAAAACACTCAACTTTGAAGGCCAGCTGCTTTATGTTTGATTCTCAACTTTTATTTCCATTGTACAAGTTAGATAATGTAACAACTGACAATTATTGTAGCTTTTCTGATAACTGATTTAAGAAAGAAAGATTACAGTTACAATGTTAAATTTTATGTGCTAAAGAAAAGCACTGCAGTTGTTTTATTCTGTTCACTGGTTTAAGAAAGAAAACCAGTATGACTTGCATTTCTCATTATACAACGTAATTTCTTGTGGGGCAAAATGCTGTTGCAGAGTACGACAAAGTTGAATGTAATGTAATGTCATCTTTAACAATTGTACATAGATGTGCTAATGAGCTTATACAAGTTTCAGATGCAATTTAGTGACCTGGAGGGATTTGTGATGCTGATTATGTCCACGTGTAGTTCCAAGTATATATTCAGACTATGCTACTTTGAACCAACTGCAAAGCACTACTATATCTGCAATAATAAGTTTACATGTTTTTTTTATCTGATGGAGCTGTTTGAGGGAAGCCTAAAATTTACACAATTACAATAATAATTCCAATTAAATAACATCACTACCTCAGAGGAAACCCATGCTCATTCATAGCTTCATTGAAGAATGCCAGGTGGGTATCAGATCGGTTGTTGTCTGCTACCTTAAGGTACATCATCTACACATACAGGAACAAAAAAATACTACATCAATAGTGTCAAGAATTTATTTGCACCTGTAAAATAAATCAGCTGACAAAATTCTGAAGGGGTAAAAACAATGTCTAAATGACAGGCGGAACAGTAAGAACTATTGAAATCATCAAAACAGTAAATTTTAGTTCAGTTCATAAGACTTCAGGACTGATAAAACTGCATTGGCATGAGGAATAGTTTGCTGAATGGGACATATGCAAACTTGACAGGGAAATTGTTAAAGGTTAAAAGTACACCCTCAAAGTTAACATAGAATAGTACGCAATAGGTTCAATATGACTTTGCAAAGGCAAGTTCATGTAATTGACTTTCCTGAAACCATTCAAGTGAAAAGTCTATTAAAATCAATGGGACTCAGGAATATGCTGTAGCACTATTCCAAATACTTCATGTGATTCTTTGTATGTGTATGCCAAGGCTAACCAGTTGCCTATTTTTACATTTGTCATAAACATCCAAGAGACCATAAGGACAATTGCTACATGTATTCATGTAAATAGTCTAATGCAAACGAACAACCTTTAATTTTCAGAGATTAGTTTCTCCACTCGTTTTCACATTTCAAAGATGCGTACAGACACATTTGTAGAAAAGAATATGTGAACCCTTTGGAATTACCTGCAATTCTGATATTTTTAAATCGTTCATAAAATGTGATCTACGTGTGATAGAACTATATTACTATTAGGAATAACAAATTTGGTTGCAATAAAGGTGAAAACTAGTAAAGTTAAATTTTGAAAAGTTAAGATTTATATATATTTGTTTCCAAGGAACACCACCTGTTTGTACAGAAAATAAAATAAAATAATAGTGTGAGAAAACATCTTCCCTGCTTAAAATGGGGTCAGTCAGTAACATTTTGCAGTTCTTTGTCCTTGACAGGTAAAATTCTTACCTTTCTTGAATAGCCATCTATTCCCCCAAAGATAACAAAGTTGTACCTAGGTTAAAATATATCAGACAAGAAGTAAGTCCAAAACACACTACATAAAATCTCCAACAGCCTATGTCTTACGATACAATATCTCTGGGAATGTAAGCAGAATAAAATCAGTTCATGCCACTCTAATTCAATCAAGTTCACTGTGATCTATTACTCTGGTTGATGTGATACAATACACACAATGCCAGATACACAACTAGAAACAAATACAAACTAATCAGACACAGATACTGTGCAGACATACCTGATGAACTTGTGATTGGTGTCAATGTGCACCACGGGTAAGGAACCGTGTACGTCCTCCTCACCACACATCTCAGACGAGTCATCCTGGAAAGCACACCTACACTGTCCACGCGATGCATGGATGCATACACTCTGTCCCATTGCACTCTGTGTCCCTTTGCAAGTAGAGCACCTTTGACTATTCTGCAACCAGCATCTGGCATTGTGCTCTTAATTCCTGTGATCAATGAGTCCAATTCATCATCACTGCAGCCACTGTATGAGGCAGATATCAACAGATTATTTTCAGCCATCCGCCTAAAAAGCATAGCTCTCAACACACCAAGAAGTCTAGCGATGCATTTTGATGGCAGCCCAAGTTCTAGAAGATGTGTAAGGGTCTCTACTGACGTCGCCAATCGTTCTCCATTCTTTTAACTAGTCCCTCATTGCGTCCTCCAGCCTTTGCATCGTCCATATGACCTGCTGTATCCATGTAGCTGGAATGAAAAACTCAGGGGGTGCAGAGTCTGATACCGCTACTAGAGGAGGGAATTCGACGTAGGTGCATTTCTCAATACTTGTTTGTGTTAACGGCACCATAAACAGGTCTAGCTCCGACTTAATGCACTCTTGTGACAGGCTATGTACCAACGATATTCTTGTTAGAAAATGTCTCTTCTCTTCTGAAATTTTGTTGACTTACTTCTCCTTGCGTGTTTATTTTTTCTATTCTTAGTATGGGTCTTGTTAATTGTTGTTCGGCTACGCCTCTTTGGTGGGGAACTCCCTCTTTTCCCAGGAGGTCGTTTTATTGGTCGGGGAAGCCACAGCCTCTATACCACTCTTGACGTCTGTTCATGACGTTAGTAATAACATCAGTAGCTATGTTTTTAGCGGCTGTCTTTAAATTAGGGGCAACAAATGTAAATCCTTTCTTGAATAAGGGGAATGCTAATCTAAACAAACCCCTAAAGATACCCCCTAACCCTGCACCATACTGAGCACCGAGCCCGCTGTATCCTGGTAAATCACCACCTGCTTGGGCTGTATGATATGCATCGTACTTGTCCGCATTGTGAGCATATGGATGGTACATGTTTGCTCCTTGTCTAATACTGATATTTTACGGGTCGAAAGTGTAGCTTTATTATCACTTTGCCGTACGTAAAAGGGATATGTTGATTCTGATCTGTCTTGAGAGAAATCTCGATACTATCAATGTGTTTTTTGCGGAGCCTCAGATAGTGTGGTCTGTCGTAAGTATTTGTGATCATATGATTGTTTGGCCCCGATATATGTACTATTCTTAAAAGAGGGACATAACTATCCCCTACCGTTTGATGATCAACAATATCGGTACAAACAAATATATTATACATCCCTACATTAACATCGGTAGGATGTGGCACCAAATACGGCATCTGTGTCAACACTGTGTTAGGTCGCGGCTGAGATCTAAATGTTGCAA